AATAAAAATTTCGGTTATCAAAATTTTATTTTATTTTTTTAAAGGCTTAATTTTTGTTTAGTGAATAAGGTAGTGCGTGAGTTGTTTTGCGGATATGGTTGATTTTAATATTAAGCAAAGGGATTTAGACCTCCTGAGTAAAAACGCTTGATAGGAAACATTGAAAAGTGTAATTATACATTTGAGTTGTGTGTTATGGGAAAGTGCCTGCGGAAAATGTGCATATTCCTCCCAGGGAAGGTTAAACATGTTTTGAAGAGTACATATGCAGATCCATTTTTTCTATTCATGCTTTGTATTACATGACATGAATAGGAAAAAGCAAGTCTATTCAACTGTCATAATCCATAATGTCAATATAACAATATAACATGATATATTATAAAATACATCCTACCTGATTCAAGAGACAATTGGCCAAGTTTCTAAGACGATTCCCCGTATAACCAATCCAACCTCTCACATCCACCCGCAACCATAGGCCTAGAGCATTTAAATAAACCTGAAAATATAGTTTGTCACATATGCTGCAAGTTGAAGTTATTTGACAGACAAATCCAGTTACACACCTCTGCACAGTCAGCATCATCTCTTTGCAGTTCTGCCCAGATATGACGGTCATAAATATCTAAAATTCTATTTAATGGAGAATGACCATCCATGTAACAAAGAGCAACATGCCACCAATTATGCGTATACCTAGAAACAACATAAACGTAAGCACATAAGGAAGCCAGATGGGAAACATTTAAATAGTAAATGGCACTTGCAAGATAGATTCCAACAGAATGTTCCTTACATAAATGACGAGCAATCAATCCATGAGGGAGAACATTCTTCCATAAACTTAACTGCCTCCCTAAAATGACATTCGTACTGGAAAACATGGCATAACTGCATAAAGATATCCGAAAGGTGACCACAAAAATCATAATAATACGGAAACATTAAGGACACGAAAAGTATTACAATTATATACAGATTAGTAGGAAACCATTTGATAATTATATTAGACTGCTAACCCATGATATCATATAGAAACCAAAGGAAAATCCAGTTTTTTTGGTAATTAAACAATAAAATAAGAGGATTTCTTTTGTAGCTAACAGGAGATTGTATCCGCAAGATGGTATGCCACCAAAGTGTCAGAGGCAGTCATTGATCTGTCGGGCTCTACAAAACCATAAAGGATGTTCAATCTCAGCTTACTACAGGAAAAGAGTCATAAGAGTGGTCTGATCGGACAGACATCTTAACTGATGGTACTAAAATGAGCACCAAACAACCCATTGCTGATTTTCACATGGTTAGTGAAGATCTTGATAGAGAAGCATTAGAACACTTAAGATAGCAATAAAGGAATATATAATAACGCATGGAGAGCAAGGCCCAACAGGAGGTAATTTTTGGAAGGTCTTGAGGTGTTGTATTCAATTTTATGTGTTGTATTTGGGGCTGCCTCAAGTTACAACTCCTCTTTCCCCAAATGCCCCAACTTTTCAAGGTATTAGCGCCTTTTGCAAATGCTATAGATAAAAATTTTAGTTTCTGCCTCAGGTTCTCCTCCTAAAGAGATTATTGTTATTTAAAGGCCTTACGAGAGCATGTAATTAATTGTATGATAGTGGAACAAAGAATTCCAGTGGGAGTATAGTCCAGCGGGACCGAAGTTGGCAAAACTAATGCCAAAACTCAAACTAGGCTTGACGAGCTAGGCCGAGTTGAGTTCTAAAACATGTGCCCATATAGCACAACCGAGAAGGGTTAGCAGGGTTACCCCTTGATGAGGTCAAAGAGATGCCCAGAGTAGTTGGCCAAGGGACTTCGTGACCCCTGTGCGTGAATGGTAGGCTTAAAGGGACAAGAGCCAAATCTCATCATAATCATCACACGATATGTACATATTAAAAAGCAAACAACATTGAGGGTGTTGCATTTACATGCACGAGGATAGCCCCTATGCACCAATTGGGATGTGTGTGCACAGGTCTGTGTGACCTAGGCTTGTCCCTAGGGGGAAACCAGTAGTCCATAGACTAGGATTCTATTCTCATCACCTATTAGTTGGCTTTGGTAGTCCAATCATGAATCCTTGTGATGGACTGTAGGTCATGGGAACTACTGGGTCAGTTTGAGAAAGTGAGCATGGGACATGATCACCAGTAGAGATGAAGTGCCAATTTCTTTCACATATTCCTCAACAAAGTTGGATCTGATTCCCATCAAATTAGTTTAGAAATAATTAATTTCGTTATAAATGATTTTTAGAATATAAAATAAAATGTTTAGAAGTTTCAAGTATTTTATTCCATCAAAATTGATTTTAAAATAAGCTAAAAAGGAATTTTCTGATATTTAAATATTCATATAAGAAAACAAATTACTTATCCTTTTTCAAAAATCATTTTTATATTTCTAAAATGATTAAATATCATAGGGGCCTAGTATACACTATGGGCATATAATGGGCCCACCATATTTGATGAGGGCGTGAGGCCAACTATGCCCATAGAGGCACAACCCCACTTCTCTCCCTCTCCCTCATAACCGACATAAGAAGTAAAGGAAAGTTTTCGTAAATAAAGGATAATTGATTTTGAAAGAAGCATGTGTAGAGGTTGACGTTAAGCAAGCTAAGGGATCAGGTTAAGGAAGCCAAAGGATAAGATTCTAACACCTTCCATTAGATCATGATAGCTGATCTATGGATTGTATTGCTAAGTCTCTCACCCTACAGGTCACCTATGATCAATGGTTTAGATGGGATCTCCATAAGGATGACTAAACCCTAACCCTAGCCTCACTTCTATAAAATCTCTCAATGGGGATCATCCCTAAACACACCTAGAACTCTCTCTGTCTCACACACCAAAGGTGGCATGCTACCCTCTCTAGATCTCTATCTATCTCTCACCCCTCTAAGAAAAGAGAGGGGGCACGCCCCATTGAAGTAAGCATAGAGAGGCACACCCCACATAGAGAAACAAGAGAGAAGCCCCTTTGTTTGTTCCACATGTTCTCATATACATAGAAGGGTTTCAAGCCAAAGCTTCCCAACTTTGTGATATCTAAGAAAGACTTAAATCGCATACGCCATCGGTAGAGGACACCCGGTGTGGAGTGTGCAAAGTCCATTCGCGGTAATCTTTTGGCGTTTTATTTAATCTATTGCTTTCTTATGTTTTTTGTTCCCAAATTCAAGTTGATGAATTTTTTATTATATAATGAAGAGTTTTTAAAAGTGGCAACAACTGAGAATCCAAATTTGAGTTTTTATTTATTCATTTGAGTTCTTATTGTAATCATTGGTTCTCGCCGGAACTGAAAAAGAAAAATGTTAAACTATATAGACTATGCTAGTTCACATAGTCCACTCTCAATTATTGACTTAGGAGCTACACATCACATGGAAAGTTACTGACCATCCTTAACTCACCTCTTGAGAATGTTGGCAAGTGTTCAATAAAGCTCCTGATTGTTACGCGTTCTTCAATTAATTCTGCTGGCCATGTCTCTTTAAACCCCTACACTTGACCTTTTTGATGTATTACATGTGACTGGTATTGGCCTAAATATTTATTCATTCCTAAAATAACCAAGTCACTTAATTGTTTTTTTTTAATATGTGAACTCACCAGGTCACTTAATTCTTCAGCCATCTTTTTGCCTATCCTTTGTGTTTTCTTGGATCAGAGGATGAGAAAGATGATTGGCAAGAGGGAAGACAGAGCTGCCACAGTTAGCTTTAGCATAGCCTACTATTACCGTTGATTTGTGGCATCACTGATTGGGGCATCCTTCTATTGGAGATGACTTGCACGCCATCTAGATGGAACCACAGAGGCCACAGTTTACTTCAGTGTACAATAAAATCACGACTGATCGTGGCATCACTGGTTGGGGCATCCATCTATAGGAAGGCTCCAATACATTATCTCAATAAGTTTAATCCCTACAATAAATTTGCGAGAGACATAATTATGCTTTATGTCCAATTTGTCCCTTGGAGAGTAAACATACTTGCCGTTTGTTTTGAATAATGATAGAAATATGAGTACCTTTGACTTAATCCATTGTCATACATGGGGACCTAGTACTTTGCCATCTACTTCTTAGGAACCGCATGTTTCCATCTTCCAAAGCAAAGCAAGGACAGATTCCACGCCACTGTTAAAGGTCTTTGATCCAAGAGGGAGGCCGGTTCGAACGAGGATATAGGTTTATCCTCTTGCATAGCATATCAAAGTCCGAGGTTCAATTGGACTAACAGCAGCCCGAAACGAGTCGCTAGAAGCGAGCTGGAACAACAATCAATTCATTTCAAACTATAGTTGAACAATAACTCTCTATCCCAGATAACGACATTTAGTCTCATCAATTCATATGGAAGCAAAGAAGACGATTAATGCTTTTCTCTATTCACGGTTCAATATTCTGGCGCCCTAGGCGTAGAGAAACCATACCAATCCATCCTGAACTTGGCGGTTAAACTCTATTACGGAGACAATACTGTAGGGGACAGAAAAATAGCTTGATGCCAGGATGATAAAAAGTTTAACCGCCGTATCCCTATCCTTCCCAGAAGCCGTACAACCTACCCTCCCTTTATTGTTGGTGAGAGCCTATTAGACCGATAGCCCTCCTCTTAGCATTGCTTTTACTTTATGTTAATGATTACTCAAGACACACATGGTTGTATTTCACGAAAAAATAAAATGAATCTCCATTTTTGGACATTTGATTCCATAACTGAGACACATTTTGAGAAAGAAATTAGAGTGGTCCCATAATTAAGTGACTTTATGCCACCATGATGCAATTTTTCTTCAAGACAATAGAATAATTCATCCATAGTTGTTGAAAACGCCTGGGAACCCGAATAGTTTTAGGAACTAGAATTCCATAATTGCCGCCGGCTAGAAGATTCATGTCTTAGGAATCGTTGTCCGTACAATAGGAATCGCAGGGAAAGAGATTCCAAGGTTTTGAGAATCGTGTTTCAACTGAAATAGATCCAACTTTCATCCATATATGGAATCGAGATTTCATCCTCCTTGGAATTGAGATTCCTATTCCCCTGGAATCGACACTCCAGGAGTCAAGATTCATTAATATACAGAATCAAGTTTTCGACATCTATGGAATCAAGTTTCTAACATATGTGGAACATAGATATGTTGCTGATTGGCATCGTGATTCTAACATATTTGGAATCTAGTTAAGGTTAACATTCTATAAAAAAAATATTTGGAATCAAGTTTCTGAACTATATGGATCACCAATTTGAGATTGAGATTTATAATAATATGGACTATGGAATGCATTTGACAGCAATCAAGATTTCATTTTTATGGAGAAGAAAACCCCAAGCACATCTTGAGCCTTATCAACTTTAGAACCTATATTGGATATCTCTTATTAAAAAGTTTTCCAAATTTTAAAGTTATTCTATTGACTATTGAACTTACGGTTATTATATACAAAAGATAAGTATTTTTAAGTGTGATTTTGACTTCATTATTATAAAGACAAAATAGGATTGTCTACGCCATGATTTTACTTTTAATTGTATGTGTTGTATTTACCAGTTATATTTTAAATTTAAAGTAAAATCGGTCTAGGGTGGCACAAGTAAAATAATGAAAACCTACAACCACTAAAACACAATTTCCTTTTGGAAGTGCACAACCATCATAGGCATTCGACATTATGTACTTTGAATTGGTTTCTTTTTTGGGAAAATATCCTATTATCCCCTATTTTTAACTTCTATATCTCATCAGACCCAAGAATTGAAAATATTACTTATAAGCAAAAAGACTCCATCTTTTCTATCTTCCAACCCCCTAAACCCTTTTGACCATGTATTATTGACCTCAACAACTTATAAAATG